TCCAGGGATTAGACAAAAAGCGATTAAACTTACGCAATAAAAATCTTACCTTGCTGTTCTTTTTGAAATTCATCTTGGTAAATGTGATAAGCCAGGGCATGTGCTTTCATGTTGGTGTAGGCGCATAAATAGACGCTTTCACTCAAAACCAAATAACCCGTCGAATATGGGTATCCTAGATAATTCCCGAATATGATTAAAAACACTATTTAAAATAGACAAAGTCTAGTACCTATGTCGCATGTACTAATGGGTTCATTGATGGTCACCCAGTATTTCACGTATTGCCCAAAACGGAGGAAGCACAGTCGCACATAATCGCCAAAATAATTTACAATCTCCGGATTATCCCATCCACCCATTTCTTGAAACACTGATGGAAGATCTGCATGATAGAGGGTCACGATCGGCTCTATACCGTTTTCTTGTAGAAGCTGATGCAGGTGCAAAACCACCATCTGTATGAACTGTTAATAAGTGCAAGGAAATTACCTTCAGTAAGTTTGTGTAATATTCGATGCCGGCCTCATTGATATTATTGGAAGTGCCATTGGGCAGAATTCTGGGCCATGAAATGGAAAATCTATACAACTGCACCCCCAACTCTTTAAGCAGAGCCACGTCTTCTTTGTAGCGATGATACGAGTCGCATGCAATGTCTCCATTTGAACCATCTTGGATCAGCTCTGGATACTCATGGGCAAAATCGTCCCAAATACTGGACCCTTTTCCATCTTCGTTCCATGCCCCTTCTATTTGGTAAGCCGACGTGGATACTCCAAGTTTGAAGTGCTCGGGGAACGGATTTTGGTTCACCTCTAGGGCAGACGCTCTAGAAGTTGGTCTAGATTAGAAACATTGAAATTGGGGTTAACGCTTGCTCTTACGTGATAATCAGGGCCGTCAAATACTGGATTCCAAAACGCATTTTCGTGTATTAAAAAGTTTACAAATAACAGCGACATAAATATGATACTGTTGCCATTGTCTGAATTATTAATGTTATCTAATTGCTTCAATTACAGATCAAATCTCGTAAAAATGAGAGAGCAACCACTTATAATTCGCGTGTGTTGTTTTCGTAAAGCACTCCATACCCCCTTTCTATAAAGAATATTTTTTCCACCAAAAATTATAATTTTTCCTGAAGATTAAGGACATACTGGGAATGCGGGTAGGGAAAGAATATTTCTCTTTCTAGTGGTGCCCAGATCACGGATCATGTGAATTTGTGCAATAAAAATATTGCCAGTTTACTTCAAGTCAAGATTGTTTATAATTTTCCATGCAAGTGTCGATCTAAGTTCAATCGGGTATGACGAACGAGAAACTATGATAATGTTAAACGCTTAGACAAAAAACGACCAATTTTAATCAGTTGTTCTTAATTGTTATTTAATTAAATGGTTTAGACCATTGAGTTAATTATGAGACTACCGAGTCGAGTGGAATCGTCTCTATCAAGTGGGTATCAAGGAGAGTGTTTGCGTCGATTTTGTCCACACTCGGATGTTTCTCACTTCTCAGCAGATGTTCGTGTTTTTCATAGCGCATTACATGGCCAATCTCGGCAAATCTGTTGATTTTGAGGACAATTAGGTGTTGCAAAGCATCAGTGCTGCAAACTCTTCATCGTGTGCCTCTTAATTAATTCGAACTCTGGTTATAAACAAGTACCTTACGGTACATCCACATTTCAAAATCTCTGTGTTTTGGATGCGTATGGCTAATTAATTCCCTTACATATTTTTCTATTTTTTATTGGTATTGGGGTTTAATTTATTGTCATGTCTTGCGTGGTTCTATTCAGATTCAACAAATGTTTTCAGTTTTTGGCAGAATTTAATTCTAGTACCACTCTAGCGTTTCATCTGTTAAAACACTGCAAAATATTTTCCGTTTGGAGAAATGATGGAGAACAATTTTTTTTGCGAAAAAGCCGCATGTATGCAGCAAACTTGTCAACGTTGCAGCGCATTTAAGGTTACTTTTTAAATTGTGCTCTTCAGAATTTGAAATGAATAACTATTTCTTCAGAAAGAGCGACAGAGAAGAATTTTTTCGAGGAAGAATATTAGTCAACTCTTTGACGTTATAGACACGCGGAACCAGTATATTGTTTTTTTTTTAAATTAGGTGATTAATTGCGAAAATGAAAATTTATTGGGACTCAGCATCAGCAGATCACAGAAAATCAGTTAAAGGTTTTGCGCTGAATTTTGTTTGTTGATCTTGCATTTTTGCTAGAACGCGGTACTAAGTAAGAGTTGAAAAGGGTTTACAAGTGATGTTGTAAACTGTAATTTTACAATTCGCAAAAGCCTTGCTCTGAGCTCTGGCATTCTTTCGACAAGAAAATATGAATATTTTCTACTTTTCAACAATTTAGATTGGCGAATTTATTAACCGATTAGTACTTTTTTACTTCCCTGCTACTTTAGTTGTTTTACACATAAAACAACATTTACGAGTTACAAGAGCGAATCATCTACAGTTGTTGCCAAACTTATGATTTAGTTTGCAAATATCTCAGTTTTTTTGTTTGCATTGATGCAAATTTGACCCTGTATTTTATTATAATTAATCGACTTTTTACGCGTTATTTTTTATTTTTGACTAATTTTATCAGCGCTATTTCAAGTGCTTTGCCATGAAATAAAAGCTCAATATATCAAATAAATTACAATTTATTGATCAGCTATTTAGGCAACGGATATCGATTATTATCGGAGTGGTTTTACACAGGGTGTTAATTTGAAAATTTCCCACCCTTAATATCTTTCTTGCAGTTGAAAATATTAAAAATCGGAAAGATCCGTCAATTTTAAGCCTCCTTGCTTCAACCCCCTAGGAGAGGTAGGTCAAGTGGCACATCGTTTTAAAGGGCGTTAAATTCTCTTTACATTAGTTATCACTATGTTGCTTTTTGTCCAGAGGTTTTCGAATAATCGCGTTTCAAAGTTGTTGTTTTTCAGCTTCAAACTTTTCATCATTTTGGTCGCAATACGAACGGTTTGAATTTGAATCCACAGAGTTACGGTCCTTAATGGCATTCCTCTAGGATGTTGCAGAACATTATTACATTACAACATACTTATACCGGTTTTTCTTTCTAAATAAGATTAATTCTAGAATTCTTGGAAAATGCGCTGTTTTTCTTGCTGTTTAAGTTAATAGCATTTGAATGCAAAATGTTGTTTTTGGGTATATGTAACAATTTTTCATACTGTCTGCATTTTTTAACTGCAAATCTGTCTCGATGTTCACTTTTCTTTGTATTTCCTTTTACTAGTGGGAATCCAATTGAATGGCAATATTTACAGTCCTGACTTATACTTAATCGGCTT